TGCTCGAAATAAAGGCCAAAAAACAGAAGAATCAATGTCTGAAGATTGGAGTGATTAATTTCAAAGTGCACATAAATTGCCATGAAACATTTTAATAGCTAAACTCAAAAGAAAAAAAAAAAAGAATGGCGTGTGAAGATGTGCAATTTATAATGTAAAACACAAGATTAATTTTAGGATTTGCCAAGTTGAAATCCTCGTCTCTGCCTGTATCCATAGCATTCAATTGGAGGATTGTTGCCAACGTCTAGAACCTCTAACATACGACAATTCACCAAGGACCTTGGTAATAAGCCATCCATTTGATTTCTATGTAAGTTGAGATTTCGTAATCCACAGCCCTCTGAAAACCCAAATGCTATATTTCCATCAAAGTAATTGGCCTGCAAATTCAACATTGAGAGAGACTTAGGAGGACAATTTGGAATCTTCTCGATTAAGTTGTTATGAGAAATGTCAAGAATTTCGAGATTTTGAAGTGCTGAGAACATGTCAGGTACTACTAAATCACTAAAATGATTTGATGATAAATTCAGACAATTAAGATTTACTAAATTAGCAATTGAGTTAGGAATTGAGCCTTGGAGTTTATTGTTTGACAAATCTAGGTCTGTGAGTGAGTTTTGCTGGAATTGATTTATTTGACCTTGAAATTGGTTATGATTGAGATATAAGTACTCTAACAAAGGTAGGGTGAAAATCCAAGGTGGCAATGTGCCATTAAGTAAGTTACAAGAAAGGTCAAGTGAGGTAAGTTGGGTGAGGTTTGCAAGTGATGATGGGATTTGTCCATTAAGATTGAAGCCGCTGCCTCGATCTCAGGATAACACTGAGCTGCATGAGATCAAGGCCAGGAGCAACCATGAGATGAAGAAGAACCTGTCTTGGTGGGATCTGATCTGGTTTGGTATTGGCGCCGGTATTTTGTCCTCACTGGACTCGAAGCTAATTCAGTTGCTGGTCCCGCCGTCGTCCTGTCCTACGTGGTCTCCGGTACTCCGCCATGCTTTCCGTTTTCTGTTACACCGAATTCGCCATGGAAATAGCAGTTGCAGGTACGTGTAGTGAATTGAATATGTTGAAGACTTGAATTTTATCTTAGATACTTAGCTAATTTAATGAAACAATATTTTGCTTTAGTTGGAGTAAGTAAAAATTATATTATTGTAATTATTTTTTTTTAGTGTAATATATAAAAGATCTCTGATGTAAGTTGTTCACCTATTACCAATATATAATAAAAAGGGAGAAAACCAAAAAATATATATGGTATTCATGTTTCCTCTTCATGATTATATTCTGGTTTTTCTCTCTTTCTTATCTCTCCTTGATTTTCACTTTCTATTTTCTTGCTTCCGAGCTCCAAAAGAATATCCCATGGATCTTTTTTTTTTTTTTACCGTGAATATTTATATTCAGATATTTTACTTTTAATATGAGGAGATTATTATTAAATTATATATTATTGGGAGTATTTTTTCATTTCTTAAAGTAATTGAATTTCTATTCACAATGTCTAAATTCAATGATGGTACTGTTTGGATTAGATCTCACCTTAACTTTATATAATAAAAAAGTTCTTAATTCTTATATTGTTTATAGTAGTGATATATTTACAATGTTATTTAAGATTATAAGATTATAATTATAATTTATTATGAATTAAGTAGATATATATAATATCATATGTAGAATCTTAAATAAAAAGAATTAATCAAATGTTATGATAAAAACTTACAATATCATATAACATTGTAAATATATTGTTTTTAATTTATATAAAAAGGAAATCATATTCTTCCTTCCCAAAGTGCTTGCGACCACCTATGTAGAAGTTTAGGTTATCATCTGTTGTTATGTAGAAGTTTAGGTTATCATCTGTTGTGATTAACAAAGTCGAAAAACATCCAGAACAAAAGCATACATATTTGTTTCAAAGCCCTAATCCTAATAATTTTCTGGTAGGAGCCCAAATCAAGGGGAAAGCCCAGCCTAGTATTTACCGTTCAGAAACCTGAAAGTGTATAACATCATTATGAAGCGTTGTAGTTTGCCCAACTCTGCACTTTTTAGGCCAGGCCCATTCAATCAAAAACCCCTTTTGTTTTTTTTTCATCATGAGCCCTTCATACTTGTTGCCTTTCGCCCCTCATATGAATGCTCGAAATAAGGGCCAAAAAACAGAAGAATCAATGTCTGAAGATTAGTGTGATTATCTCAAAGTGCATGTAAGTTGACCTGAAACATTTTTTGACCGCTAAATTTAAAAAGAAAAAATGAAAAAAAGAAAAAAGAGAAGAAGCTTGTGAAGAAGTGCAATTTAGCGTAAAACACAAGATTTTAGTATTTGCCAAGTTGATATCCTCGTCTCTGCCTGTGTCCATAGCAATCAATTGGAGAATTGAAGCTGCTTGGCAAAGATGGTACAGTGTTGTATTGTTCTGCATTTCCATTTCATTCTTTGTAGCAGCAACAAATTGTTGCTTTACTTGTGTATAGATAGTTACTGGATAAATAAAATTTACCTTTTATCTAGAAAAGAAATGAAGGGCAAATAATAAAATAAAATAAAATAAAGAAATACATGCATGAATGTCAGCAAACAAGGATTTAGTTACTAGAGTAGCATCTCACCATCTTTCCCTGGCTGTATTTTTTTTGTGGCTAAATACTCGAAATCTTGAATGAGAATAACAACTCAAGAAACTAAAGAGGTTGGTCAAGAACACTTGCATAAATCAACTCAACATGGTTTAGATGTTTCCCACAATATCAAAGCAGCATACAACAGAAACAAGTCTTTAAAGCACAATAACGCAGATCAGAGACACCAGACACATCAAAGCCTTCATCTTTTCGAGGGCTGTCATTCTCTTTCACATCATCCATTTCTGTCTATACGAGTTTAATTCATACAATACGCTACAAAAGCTCACAGATCATCTTCACAAAGACAATGATGCAT